TTTTATCTAGTTTTATTAAAATTCTTTGCTACTTTAATACTATTATAAATTTAGATAACTGTAATTAGAGATCAAAATTTCATTTTATTTTTTATTGATTTCTAAATTTAATTTAAATAATTATTTGTCTTAACATAAAAAGTTACAACTAAATTGGTGTTAATAGTTCATACTTTCTATTTAGTTTTTTATAAAACTGTTGCTAACTCTCAAACTTCATTTTAGAGCTAAAGTATAATTATTTTTTTAAACGTTTACACAAAAATTTTATTTATACCTTTCAACTTGACTAAAATTTCATGAATGAAAATATGCTAAAATTGAAATTTTAGTTTTCAGTTTTGATGAAAATAAACATTTCATAATTGAATTTTGATATTTTTGCATCATTTAATGTATCTGCATATTCTATAATAAATTAATTTCTGCAAAAAAAATACTAGGATTCTCAAACAATTTTTTTAATTAAAAGTCATAATTAACTTGGAGATGAAGGCACAAAAGTCTTAGGCTCTGCTTTATAAAGCTGTAAAAATCTCCAAAATTTGACTCTATCTCTTTAGTAATATTATTTACTTATTTTATCAATTAATTTGAAGAAAAATTAATTTTTTACAGCAGTAAAAAGTCAAAAATAATTTATTTATTTGTTTATTTTTTATAATTAAATTTAAGATTATTTTAATGAAATATTTACCATTTAAGTATTATTTTATTTATAGCGATAATTAAGTTGGTGATAAAGGTATAAAAGATTTAGGTTCCACTTTTAAAAATTGTTCTAAGCTTACAGCCTTATCACTATATTTGAAGTAAAATATTTAATTTTTATTTTATTTACATTCCTTAAAATAAACTTATGATTAATTTAATCTAATTTATTTGTATTTTTTCATTAAAAAAATTTAAATAAATAAAAGCAAGAATTAATTAAGCTATGATGGTGCATAAAATTTAATTATGTAGTTAACAACTTGTAAAAATCTTTTATGCTTGACTTTTTTTATAGGGTAAAATTTATTATTATTTAGATATTAAATTGATTAATAAACTTCTAAAATTTAAATAACATTTTAATTAGAAATAATAGTTATAATAAATTTATTAATATTTTATTTTATTTTTTAATTTATATTTTTTTTATAAAGAGCATGTAAATTTCCTCTAGCATAAATGTCTCAATTAAAAATCAAAGTTAATAAAATATAAAGATTAGTCACCAAAAAATTGTGGTTTTGATATACTTACTTTAAATCCTCATTAATTTAAATTAAGGGCCAAAAAAAATTTTTATGGAAATTCTTAAATCATAGTATCTTCAAAGATGGGAGGGGGGGGGGGGGAGTGCTCTTAATTAATGAGGATTTAGAGTATTTATTTATTTACTTACTTAAATCTGTATAAGGTTTTGTATTATTTTTGTAAGTAGCTAAACATATTTATTTAAATATTATAATATAAAATGTTTTTTTTTATTTATGTATAATCAATATATATCTTATCCACCACTGAATATTAATTAACATTGATCTAAATTCTTAAAATGTTTTCAAAAATTAACAAAATTTAAATAATTCTAAATAGTCCGTAAAAAAATTAAACTTGCACTTAGAAGTTTGCAAAAAAAAAAAAGAGAGGTTGTGAAAAATGTAAAATAATTTAAAAATTATCAAGAATTAAAGAACTATGAACATGAAATTTGCAATAAATAAAATAAAAATTTAAATTTGGATAGAAGTCTCACAGTTCAGAACGTAGTTATTTATATTAATAATCAAATGAGACTCCTAGCAAACTTTTATAGTAATTGAAAACAAAAGGTAAATTAATTTTTTTTGGTTTTTAGTATTAATTTTATTTACTTTTTAATTATATTAAATAAGCTATTTGTAAAAATATAAAAATTTTTTTGAAAAAAATTAAATATAATTCAAAAGATAAAAAATGAACACAATATAAAATAGCTTTAACAATAATTTATCTAAAACTGAAAATCTTTTCAAGCATAATTATAAAGAATGTCCAATTCACCTGAACGAAAAAGTAGTTTGTTTAACATCAGATGACGGACAAGGACAAGATACATTTCTGCAGAAATGCAATCATTGTTATAAATAAGACTAAATAATATAGAACAGCTCAATTCTTTTGGAAAATTTATTTGATAGTAAATTTGAAATAAAAAATAAAAGATAAACTATTTATGATGATGATGATGAAGATGAAGAAATCTTTTAAAAGCTCACTGAAGTATGTTAAAATCAAGATATCTAATAAATTGATTAAAAGATCAAAAATTTCTTCAAGGAATTTGGATAGTAAATTTAATTGATATTGCAAAATAAAGAAAGGTCTATCTTAAAAAAAATTGAATAAATGAAATGCTAAAATGAACAAGCTTTAAAAGAATGTAATATAAATTCTTAAAAAGAGAACCTTATTAATCAAATAAAAAGTAAATATGTTAATTTAGAAAAAGAAAATTAAATTTTTATAGAAAAAATTAAGTAGAATAAATTATAATACAAATAAAACATCCAAACGCTGCAAGACTTAGCTAAAAAATTTCATTTATTAGAGATTGACCTAGCAAAATCTTATTAAGTTAAGGAGTAGGTTATTTCATCTATTAGCTATCTTAATATCTTTGATTAGTTAGATAGTTATGAAACTTAAACTAATTGTAATTTAGATAAATCATATTATGATCAAAGTAAAATATAATTTTATGATTTAAAATATTTGTTGATTGCAAAAAAATTATTAATTAATTAATTGTAAACGATTTTTATTTAAAATAGGAAATGAATAGGTTAAAATAACTAAATTTGAAGACATGATAAATATTTTAAACTTCAAAAATGTAGAAATAAATTTGAGGTGTATTATTTATCTTAATTATTTTAATAAGAATATTTTTATTTATTTTTCTATATAATTTATATTTAGAGAAATGATTTTCTTAAAATTTTTTTATTTATAAGCTAAAATTCCATACAAGATAAAAACCTTTGCATGATTGGAGATATTCTTAGTATTTGCAATAATATTACTAATCTAACCCTAAACTTTGAGTATTTAAATTATTTTTGAAATCTTTAATTGTGAGATAGTGATATATATTAACTGATTAAAATATCAAAATATGTAGAAGCAATAAGATTGACAACTTAGCTCTTAAAAATATTGTGAAAGCTTTATAAAAACTTAGTAATATAGAATCTCTCAGTTTAAATTTAAAGTAAATTTTTAAAATATTTTACTCATCCTGGTTGAAAAGAATATAAAAATATTCAAAAACAAATCAAAATATTTAGTTAATTATAAATAATAAAAACAGTGGTAAAAAAATTAGTGATTTAATGCTTAAAAGTATTGCTAAATCTTTGAAAGGTCATAAAAATCTAATCAAACTTGATCTAAATCTCAGGTACATTTTAAAACTAAATTTAGGTTTCTTGATTTGCCATAAAAAAAGATATGATTCATTTTCAAAATATAATTTTTATAAAATTATTTTAATTTTGATAAAATCAATAGCTAAAACAATTTGAATGCATCAAAATGTGTAGCAAAAATATTAAACAATTGTAAACAAGTTCAATATTTAAGTTTAGATCTAAGGTAATTTATTTTTCTATATCAAAATTTATCTCTCATTTAAATTTAATTTATATATCTTTAGAAACATCTCTGTATTAATTTTATTTATTAAAAAGTTTTAAGAAATATTTTATCCTTCCAAAAATAATAATTTTTTAATCAATTTTTTACATTAAATAATTTTTATAGTGATAACTTTATTGATGATAAAACAATTTAAGATATTGGACACAGCTTAGCAGATTTAGAATAATTAAAATCTTTAAAAATAGATTTATCGTAAAAATTAATTAATCATTTTCAAATTTAATTTTTATAAAGAAATTAAAGTTAAAATAGGCTTAGTCCAAATGGGATTTAATCTTTATTAGAATTTCTTTCATTATAAAAAGAATTAAATAATTTAGATTTAAGTATCAGGTATTTTTTAAATAAATTTTATCCTAAATTGATTTATTTTTATTTGAAGTTTTTTAATTATTTTTTTTTCCTTTAATTAAAATAAATAAATGAATCTTAATTTTTACAAGAATTATTTTTTTTTTCAAATAAATAAATAAATTCAAAAGATTAAAAATTGTCTTTTTTGAACTTAAAATTATTATTTTATATTTTATTTAGTAAATTTTTTTGAATTTTTAATATTTTTAGAAATAGTTCTATTTGTGTTGAAGGTACTAAGGCTATTAAAAGTGCTCTAATGAAATTAAAAAACCTAACAGAGCTTACGATTGATATTAGGTAGCTAATATTTGTTAATTTCATACTTTCTTTTTTAATAACAATTTTAAGTTGAATTGCTTTTTGATAATTTTATTTAATATTTTAAGTCACAATATAATTGGGTTTAACGGAGCAAAAAATATTGCTGAATGCTTGGTACAATATCAAAATCTTACTAATTTAACTCTTAATTTAAGGTAAATAAAATAATCAATTATTTCACAAAAAGTATAAAACAAAGTTAAAATTTATTTGTTTGTTTTAATTTAAAACTTTTAATTAAACAAAACGACTAGCAATAACTCTATCAATGTGGAAGGAGCAAATAATTTAGCTAATTATATTGAAAAATGCTAAAAACTAAATAGCCTTTGTCTTTATTTAGGGTAAATAATTAATTAATTCTTTAATTTTCCAATTCTTAATTATTTATTTATTTTTGATTGATTGATTGATTTTGATTCAAATAAAATACTTATTTTGTAATTTATTATTAATACTTAAGATCGAACTCACTTGGAAACAAAGGAATTTAGAAAATAACTCAGTCTATCCAAAATTGTTAAAAAATAACTTAATTGAGTCTTTATTTAGAGTTATATTTTATTTATTAAAATTAAAAATGTATTAATTTGCTGTATTAAATAATTAATTTAAGTGAAAATGAAATAAAAATATAAGGAGCTCAATATGTTTCAAAATGCTTGGCAAATTATTAAAACATTACTCATTTTACCATTGAGCTTTAGTAATTATTTCTAATACAAATTATTTATATTTTAAATTCTATTTTTTATAAAAATTTTTAAATATAAAATCAAAGTTCAAATCAATTAGGTGAAGAAGGAGCTGAGTGTATTGCAAATTCTATTTTAAATTATAAGAATATAACCCATTTATCGCTTGGATTCTAGTAATTAATTATTTTAATAGTATTTGTATTTTTACAGTTGAATTTTTAATATTTTTACTTCAATGCTTATTTGATTAAATTATTTTAAAGATCGAACTCAATAGGAGACAAAGGAGCTAAGAATATAGCTAAAGCCTTGAAAGAATATTAAAAATTGACTCATCTTAATCTTTATTTAGGGTACTTTTAACATATATTAAATGAATTTTCAATAATAAACAGATTAAAATAGTTAAAATTGTTGAAATGTTTTGAAAAAATAATTATTTGGAAGATTAAATTAGATAAGATCAGATGGAGTTTAAAGTATTGCAGATTCTATTTAAGATTATAAGAACATTACTCATCTTCAGTTAGGGTTCTTGTAATTAATTTTCAATCTTTTTTATTGAATTTTTTAAAAATAATTTAATCATTGAGTTTATTTTTAATGACAATAAGCTAAAATAAAATTAATGAAATTGGAGCTGAAAGTATTTCAAAGGCTATATAAAATTATACTAAAATAACTCATCTAAGTCTAGATTTTATGTAAAATACATTAAATACTTTCATCCTTTTCCTCAAATATCTTTTTCAGTTTAAAATTCTTATTAAAAATAAATATAAATAAATAAAGAGAAAATTAGATAGGAAAAGCAGGAGCTTTGAGTATTGCTTATGCTTTAGAAAAATATCTCAACATTAACCAACTGATAATTTATCTATCGTAAAAATTTTTGAAATATAAATTTGTTTTCAGCAAAAAATGATATAAAAGCATTTATTTATAATTGTTAACTTAATTAAAAATAATTTTATTAGAAACAGCTAGATTGAAGTAGAAGGAGCTACTTATATAGTAAATGCTATTAAGTAATACAAAATGATAAATCACTTAGATCTTGGGTTTGAGTAAAATTATTTATTTTGCAGACTTTTATATCATTTTATTTAGTTAAAAGTAATTTAACATAAATAACAAACAAAAAAGTTGATAATAGAAAATAACTTGAATTTAAGCTAAGTTTATTCTAATTTATTAATTTGATTCTTTTAAAAAGGGAAAACAAAATTGATGAGACAAATTAATTGATTTTGAAACAATAGTTACAAATGTCAATGAATGGAATAGACTTTAAAATAGCATGTATGTGATATAAAATAAATAAATAATTATTCTAATTATTTTAATATTTTTTAAAATTATCATTAGTTTGACGATTGATTAACTTACACATGATCAGATAAATCTTTTGACTTACATTAAATAATCTATTAATTAAAAATAAGGTTCCCACTTAAGACAATAAAAGAAAAATATTATATATTATATATATTTTTAAGTATGCTTGTTTATTTATTTACTCATTTATTTATTTTTTTTTTTCTGTTATTAAACGTAAAACAAATTTAAAAAGACCTTACTTCCTTAATTTTCATTGTAAATTTTTAGCGATACTTTCTAAAAATGAGCATTTATTTTAATAAATAAAAAGTGATGAAAAAATAAATTTCTTAAACCTTGATTAATGAAGGTTGACAATATGCTTTGTGGATAATATTTAAATTATTGATTTGATATTAATTGAAAAATAAAATAATTAATTCTCAAAATGATAGTTAAAATAGAAGATTATTAGATTACATTTGAATCAATCATTATTTTGCAATTTTTTTTAATAATAATCTTACCTTATTTTGATATTTATTTTGAATTAGTTTTGAGAATTGACAATCAAAAATACTGTTTTAAGGATCAAATTAGATTTTTATTAAATTTAATTCATCTGTTTAAAGATATGTTATCAGAGTTGATTGATTTAATATATTTAATATATTTAATTAAAGAACTTAATCCAATTAAAAATGAACAAAAAAAAAGGAAAATAAAAAATAGACTAATTAAAAAAAATACATCTGATAGATCTTGAAAATTATAATGCTTAATAAATTTAAGATTTGAAAGAAGTTTCTCTAATTTAGAAAGAAATTAGATTTTACGTTGGTAACCTATATAAAAAGTTTGCAATAAATCTGAGACCTTTTAATGAATAAGATGCATAACAATTATCATAAGAAATTAGTTAACTTTTCAATAAAATTGAGAAACTTCAAATAGTAATTATGGATGATAATTTTGAGCTAAAATACCTTTAGTTGATTGGAAATGCTATTTCATAGTGCTAAAATTTAATACATTTAAATATATTTATCAATGGTATCAAGCATATTTATTGTGAAGAAGGCTAAATAAGTGATTATGTCATTTTTACTTAATAAATCTCATAATGCAAAGATATTTAATACTTAAATCTACTCTTTGAAGAAGGCTATATTGATGACCAAATCTGCTTTTAAATGCTTAAAAGTTTGTAAAGCCTTCCTAAACTTAGCCAAATTGTATTAAATTTAGTTGAAAATCCATTAGATATTTCTTAAGATGATTGGCAATAATTTATTTAGACTTTTACAGGATTTCATAATTTAAATTATCTTGTAATATGTTTCAATGGTGAGTAAACTAGTAAGTTTATGAAAATGTTAGCATAACGCTTTAAAAAAGTAATTAAAAAATTGATCCATCTTAGGCTTTCATGGATGGATTGACTCACCAAGATAACTAATAAAATAAATAGCTAAATTTTATTAAAAGTAGTAAATAAAAAACAAATTAATTCTATTGTTTCATGTTAATTTTATTTGATAAAATTATATAATCAAAAAGTATTTATTTTTTATATATTGTAACACATTAAATTGTTCTATTTTACTTAATTTTTTTTATCTTTTACTCCATTTCAAAAATATTCTAAGAGAAAAAAATATTAAATTTTCTTTAAAAACAGAGTGGTAAATTAAAACAAAATTCTTATAATATTTTGAGAAGAAAGGAGAATGAATGGAATATATTTTTCATACTTTTAATTAAATAACATAAAAATAAAATATTTATGTTTATTAAATAGAAGATATAAATTAATTAAATAAAGTAATTGAATAAATATATATCAATAAAATATTGAGAGATATTTTGATGCTGAGAAAATATCGATGGACAATAAATAATATAAATGTGATCAAATGATCATCAAAAGGGGCTGATCTAAGTTTAATTGAATAGTCTTTTGGCAAACTATAAAGATAATTAAAAGAATATTATGGTGAAGTATATACCTAAGATCAACTCTAGGATAATATATGTGAGATTTTTTGTCAAGAGGACTTTACAAAATTAGTTTAGAGCTGCTATGAGAATGTGAAAGAAAAGTGGCAATTAGTTAATAATAATAAAGGAGGAGTGTAATTCAATTTAATTATTACAAATGTATTATATATTGCATAAATTATATTGCTATTATCAGATAATTATTATATATGATGCCAAAAATCTGGAGATATACTTTATATTATATTATATTATATTATATTATATTATATTATATTATATTATATCATACCTTCACTAAATTTCATTCATTTTAAGATATCGTAAAACCTCGTTAACTCGCAACCCACAAATTCAAAAAATTTTCGATTTATCGAGGTTTTTAATTATTTTTTTACTAGAATTTTTCAAATATGACTAAATGCCCATCTCTAATTCACTATATTTTTAAATTTTTGCTTTAAATACAAATGTTAAAATTAATTGAAGAATTTTAAATTAATTTTTCTGTTATATCTTTTCATAAAAGCAAATTTATAAATTAAAATTTTAGAATTATTATATTTTATTTGTACTTTTTATTCATTTATAATTAATTAAATTTCTATTCAATATTTTTGAAAAAAAAAATAAATGATATAATAGAATAAATATAATGAAGAATTAGTAGAAGTAATGATTAATTTTTTTATTAATATCCTTTAAATTTATATAAATTAATAAAAAAAGTTTTTAAAAACTCCACTTTAATCTCATTAGGTTCTCCATATTAAGTTGAAGTATTAATAATTATAAATATTATTTTTATTATTATTAATATTTTTTATATATTTAACTTTCAATTTATTTAAATAAATAATTTTTTTATTAGAAATTCTAATCATTATTCATTGATTTTTTATAAAAAATATTTTTTAGCTATTTTAACTTAATTTTTATTTAAATTTATAATTAGTTATTATTTGATATTTTTTTCTTTATTTTTTGCTATTAACACTTACACTTAATAAAATCAGTTTATTGTTTGTAATTGTAATATTTTTAATTATAAAAGGTAATTTAAAATATTAAAGCTCTAATCTTTATTTGATTTATTTTCCCTTTTCTTTTTATTGTACTAGCTTTTTTCTCATTTTTTGTTAATTTAACTAAATATTAATTAATCTAATTATTTCATTTTTTTCTTCATTTTTTTCTTCTAATTAACTAATTAATTATATTTTTTCTCAATATTTAAAAAGTTCTAAATAAATTGGTATTATTAGTGCATAAGATTTAGGTTCTGCTTTAGCAAAGTGCATTAATCTCTCAAATTTGACACTTGAACTTTCGTAAAAACAGTTTATTTATTTTAGATTGTGATATATTCAATTATAAAAACTAATTCAAAACAATAAAGCTCTTTTTCTTTGTTTAATTTAACTCATCATATTCAATTTTTGCTTTTATTATTAATTAATCTTATTATTTTATATTTCTTCTTCATTTTTTCCTTCTAATTAATCATTTTTTCTTCAATATTTAAAAAGTTTTAATTAAATTGGTGCAATCGGTGCATCAGATTTAGGTTATGGTTTAGCAAAGTGCATTAATCTCTCAAATTTGACACTTGACCTTCGGTAAAATCAGTTTATTTATTTGGAATTATGACATTTTTAATTATAAAAACTAATTAAAAACAATTAAACTCTTTTTTCTTTTTATTGTGTTGCTTTTTTTCTTCTTTCTTTTCTTTCTTTGTTAATTTAACTCATAATTTTTTTTTTCAAATTTTGCATTATTAATTAACTAATCTTATTATTTCATATTTTTTCCTTCGAAAATTAACTAATTAATGATATATTTTTTCTTCAATATTTAAAAAGATACAATAAAATTGGTAATGAAGGTGCATCAGGATTATTTTCTGCTTTATCAAATTGTATTAATCTCTCAAATTTGACACTTAATCTTCGGTAAAAAAAGCTTATTTATTTTGGATTGTGATATTTTTAATTATAAAAACTAATTAAATAGAATAAAACTCTTTTTTATTTCTTTTTATTGTGCTTACTTTTAATTTAACAATTCATCATTTTATTTTCAATTTTTTCTAATTAACTATTTAATAATATATTTTTTCTTTAATATTTAAAAAGTGGCAATAAAATTGATGATGTAAATGCATTAGGCTTAGGTTATGGTTTATCAAAGTGCATTAATCTCTCAAATTTGACACTTGACCTTTGGTAAAAACAGTTTATTTATTTTGGATTGTGATAAATTTAATTATTAAAACTAATTAAAAACAATAATGATCTTTTTTCTTTTTCTTTTTATTGGGCTTGCTTTTTCTTCTTCTTTCTTTGCTAATTTAACTCATCATATTGTTTTCGATTTTGCTTTTATTATTAATTTATCTTATTATTTCATATTATTTCTTCATTTTTTCTTTCAATTTTATTTTTTCTTCATTATTTAAAAAGTTTTAATTAAATTGTTGATGAAGGTACATCATACTTAGGTTCTGGTTTAGCAAAGTGTATTAATCTCTCAAATTTGTCACTTTTACTTGGGTAAAAGCAGTTTATTTATTTTGGATTGTGATATTTTTACAGGGTGTCCCATAAATAATGGAAGAAAATTTGAATATAGTTAATTAATTTAATTCTATAAAAAAATTATTCTAAAAAATTATTTTTTATTTAAAAACCTAGCCTAATTAAAATCTAAAGTTTCCATACCACTAGATTTTAATTAGGCGTTTAGCTATAATTAATCTTATTATTTCATATTTTTTCTTTACTTTTTTCTTCCAATTAACTATTTAATTATATTTTTTTTCTTCAATATTTAAAAAGCTTTAATTAAATTGGTCCAATGGGTGCATTAGGCTTAGGTTCTGGTTTAGAAAAGTGCATTAATCTCTCAACTTTGACACTTTAACTTGGGTGAAAGCAGTTTATTTATTTATTTAGTTTGGATTGCGATATTTTAAATTATAAAAACTAATTAAAAACAATAAATCTCTTATTTCTTTTTCTTTTTATTGTGCTTGCTTTTTTTCTTCTTTCTTTATTAATTTAACTCATCGTTTTATTTCCAACTTTTGCTTTATTATTAATTAATTAATCTTATTATTTCATATTTTTTCTTCATTTTTTCCTTCTAATTAATGATATATTTTTTCTTCAATATTTAAAAAGTTCCAATTAAATTGGTGATGAAGGAGTATCAGGCTTAGGTTTTGGTTTAGAAAAGTGTATTAATCTCTCAAATTTGACACTTCAACTTTTGTAAAAACAGTTTATTTATTTTGGATTGTGTGTGATATTTTTAATTATAAAAACTCATTATAAACAATTAAACAGTTTTTTCTTTATATTGTGTCTGCTTTTTTCTTCATTCTTTGTTAATTTAACAATTCATCATTTTATTTTCAAATTTTGCTTTTATTATTAATTAATATGATTATTTCATATTTTTTTTCTTTCTAATTAACTATTTAATTAAATATTTTTTTTTGAACATTTAAAAAGTGACAATAAAATTGGTACAATGGGTGTATCAAGCTTAGGTTCTAGTTTAGCAAAGTGCATTAATCTCTCTTTTTTGACACTTCAACTTGGGTAAAAACAGTTTATTGATTTTGGATTTTGATATTTTTAACTATAAAATTTGAATTTTATTTGATTTCTTTTTTTATCATTTTTATTCCATTAATATTATTTTATTTATTAATTTAAGAAATTGATTTTAATTGAAAAGTTAATTCTATTTGATATTTATTTAATATTTACATAAAATTTATTATAAAAGTTTTAGCTTAAGGAATTAATCATAATTCAAAGCAAGAAGCAAGTTTTTTAAATCAAAA